CCCAGCCTCTCTGGCAGACATTCTTCCCCTACTCCCCCGCCCCCTTCCTGCTTGTCTAAAACAGACTTCTCTTTGCCTCACCACACAATCTAGCAACTGTTACTGCCAAAGCCACCTCCTCTGCTGCTACAACCATCCAAAACAGCATTCCTATATACTTTGGCTTCATTAAATCTCCATCTCAGTTTCAAATCTTAAAAAAACCCCAACAAAACAAACTAAAACAAAAAACTCCTTCTTTCCAGCCTCGCTTATTAAACTTAAATGATCACCATAATAATAATAATAATACAGTGGAAGGTAAAACACTTCAGTATCTATGTTAGGAACACAAAATTGGAAAGCATCTCCTGGATCACTGACAGCCACGTGCTACGGCTTGTGCCCCTCTCAGATACTCCTACTCATAAACTGACCACTCTCCATCTTAAAAGACTAGTGAGGCATTTTGAAACCCCTGGTGTACAAAACCCAAAGAACAAAATAAAGTTAGTCTTGGAGGCGGAGCTGGCAGCACTACCTGTTATTATGGCTGCACAGGGCTTCGCACAACACCGTATCTTCAACTCTTCTAACTTTGCCAGAATGTAACTGCTTGAACTGAAATTTTTGTCCATTAATGTGTAAAAGAGTGGGAGACAACCAAAAAGTTTCAGGTATTTCTAAAAGATGCCAAAGAAAACAAAATGTTGTGGCAGAAAAGAGTGAGACCAAGAAAAGATGATGGCAAAAGATGAAGAGGGGGAGAAGAAGTAGGGAAGAGAGAAGAAAAAGTGGGAGCTGGGCATGGAAGACTACAAGTAGCTGGGAAGTGACACTCAGATAAGGGAATATGAATTGTAGCCATTAGGGGAAATGGAAAACAGGGAGTAGCTTAAAAAGAAGAAAAATTAATCAAAGTATATGGGGATGAGATCTAATAATACATAGTGCAGAAAAATGGAGAAGAGGCAATGACTGAAAAAAACAAACCTAGAAGAATGCTAAAATTGGGACATATAAACACAAAGAGACAGCGGTAACAGCAGATTATTGGAAGTTAAAATGGAGGACTGCAGAGATCAAGAAACATGAAAAGCACAGTCACCTCTTGAACAGACATGAGGGTGCTACTATAAGACTGCAGGATGACCAACTAAGAAGGTGCAAAAAAGCAATGTCACTCACAAATACCAGTCCCTCCTAGATGGCTTGCATGTTTGGATTAAAACCCAAGACTGCTGAATGAGGCACTTTTGCTGCTTGGAAATATGAAATTCCCAGACAACATTGCTCATCCTGTTCGGACAGCAGTCAGCACAGAGCACTGACAATTTGCTACTGCTGTAAATTTTCCCCAGTAGCTCAAGCAGCAAAACTCCATGCACTGAAATTCAAGATTCAAAAATACTATTTGAAGCAGTTGAAGACTTTAACATAGCACATATGCAGAAGCTGACATAATGTTTCCCAGATAATCTTAATTCTGATACTATTTGATTTTGCCTTGTAACATCCTTAACACAACAGTGTTTTTGTATCATTCTACCTAGATCTTTCCCTTTTTCCTCTTTAGATAACTTACAACTTATAGCAAATATTCTGGAACTTTAATAATGATGACAATAAATATTGTTAGCCAAAAGATTACTATTTACCTCCACCATTAGTTACAACTGTGCTCCCTCGGTTTTCTTGATACTGACTTTCTCTTCGCAGCCTCTGTTCTTTAGTGATCTCTGCCACACGTAAAGGGAGATCTGAGAACTCATCTGTTGGCTTTAGAAAACAAACAGTGAAATCAAGAAACACTTTTCTTCTGAAACTTCATCTTGTAAGCTACTACCTATTGATTTACGTTTTTACTTCAACTGTCCTGTTTTGCACATACAAAAGACCTACTTAAAGCAAAATACAGCTATAATGTATCATTTTAGAAAACGTATATTTAAGCCTTCTTAAAAAAAAAAACCAACTTGGCTACAGTTTTGTTTGCAATATCTGTAGGTGCTTGAAAGTATCCCAGGATGGAAACTCCTACAACCCCCTAAAACACCAAGCTAGGAGTGCAAGCAGGCATACAGAGTATAGCTCACTTAAACACTTTAGGTCTTGGCTACTGTCTTTTCTAGTTGTCCCAAGAGGAAAGGAAAGCTTCTTCCTGGCAAGAATAATTGACAGTCTCCTTCCTAAAAGATCTCATTTTCCTGCTTCTAAATGGCAAGCAGAATTTAACATTTGAAACAAGGTGCTAAGAAAAATGATGAAATTTGCATCTCATTTTTGAAGCTTAATTTTCCTGTTCAGATTTATTTTATTGAAACAACTACTCATGAGTAATTGTAGTTGACTCAACATTGTAATATGCTACAGTTATAAGTTTTTTTAAAATGAGGAATCCCATTTTTCTCACCTTTTACACTCCAGTAAATTAATCTGTCATGCACTGCTTTATATATTTATCTTATTATTTCCAACTTTGATTCCATCCCATATAAAATTGTTCTTATTTTCTCCAATAAAACAACAAATATTTTTGGCTCAAGACAACCTGCACACTAGCATATACATGTTACCTATTGAATGTGCTTCCAGATGTGTACTTATTAGTTCTCTTTCCTGTACAATACTGGACTCAACAAAAATAAAGCTGCAACACTTACTTCATTCCCTGACCATCTTTTGTCTCCACTGTCCACACTATTGAAGCCAGAATCAAGTGCTCCATACGGACGACTGGAATAGAGTTCCTCATGGCTGTCAAACACACAGTTTTAGTTACTGTAATATAAACACTATCAAAAGCTTTTGAGCTATTACAGAACAAAAGTAGAATAAGCCACCAAGCAGAGGTGCAATGTGTTCACAAGCTCAGCATATTAGAAAGCATCATACCGCACTTGCCACATGGAACAAGAGGCACATGTTTATAACTACAAACATACCTGTCCACCTGCCACTACCTAGCGTTTTAAGAGCTAATCTGATCCAAAGTATATATCCATACTTCAAACGTTTCCCAAGCAGAAATTACAACAAAGAAAACTGCAAAGTGGTCTCTTATTTCACTGTTTAACAAGTCAAACTTCCATTTTCTGCTACTTGTATGTTTTGGTTGAAAAACCCTGTCCCACAAACTTTTTCATGAGTAAGCACACACCTGCACAAAATTACTAAAAATACAGAATTACTACTTCTACACAAAAGTACGCAGAATGTATTACATAACTATCGTTTGTATCCTAATCACCTATCTGAGAAACTGCGCAGTAAGCTGGACGCTATTGCAAATACTTCATAATATAACAAATATAGAAGTACAGTTTTCATCTACAGAGCCTGACTTTGTCAGTGACACGTGTAGACAAAGGCATTAGACACGTGCCTAGTGTTGCAATACACATAACCAAACAGCCATACAGCTCTTCTCTAAATTTCTGGGCTTAGAAACTATGTAATTCAGCAGTACAGCCATCACAGATGTCAAGTCTGGCAACTGCTGCAGATAGCTACAGTCAAAGAGACAATGGGACTTGTCTGATCCACTGCAGATGGCATTTGACAATGGATCAACTGTCCTACTGGCACTCAACGCTCCAGGGAGAACTGCAGCAGTAATTACTACATAATACACAAGGAAGAATGCATTTCAGAAGCTAATTGCTTCACCCCATCATAACTAAATTGCAGGTCATTTTCTCGCTGGTATTGCTCTCAAGTTGTTGCTCCCTCTGAAATCCTGAAATAAGTAAATACTTATTCTCAAATTAATCATTATTATTATTGTTATTTATGCAGCATGGGACTTCATAGAATAGTGACAGACTGTTATTCTGGGATAGTTTAATTTTCAGATAGACATAAACCAGCAAAAAACAGGAGGGATGGAGGGCTACAGTTGAGAAACGTTAGGCTATACATCTGTTTCTATGCAGATATATGCCAAAAGAAAAGGTCTTGTATCTGCATGGAGTTTTGATTAACTCAAAATAGTTTCACCTTCATGGCCTTGTATTTGATCAGAAAGATCATCTGCATAATAAATCCCTAGAAAGAAAAAAGGTGAAAGAAAAAACAACTCCCTTCTTTTGGGTGGGGAAGAAAAAAAGAAAATTCTTGACAATAGAACCATACTTACGCTAACAGTTCACAGTACTTAAATATTGGATTTAAAACATGGGTCAGAGAAAAGAAAAATCAATCTCCAGTATAATTCCATTTTAAATGCATCCATCTTTTCAGAATCTCCTGAGAACCCTGTTGTAAATTGAACAATAATTGCAAATTGACGAGCATCAAAATGACTATCTGGCTACATCTCAAAAGCGGGAAGTATTTTGATATAAGTTTTCTTCTTTTAGCCTTCTTTTTCAATTAGAGATTCTGAAAAGCTATACATCTAACGCTAAGGTTATCTAGAAGCTCAAAAATCCATAATCACTGTTCCCAGGACTCTTCTCCTTTTTAACATGAAAGTTGTTTTCTCCCCAGCTCTCACATCTAAAACCAGCTATTCAGTGCTGCACACTTCACATGTTTATAATCATACAGCAGCCATCCTGAAATCAGTTGAGACTTAAGATTTTTCTTCCTCCCTGACCAACAAGCTACAAGGAACAACAATTAGGCATCTGGATAGATCAGAGCATTTTGGGGCAATCACAACTTACCTGGGAAGCTATGTAAGGCTTGAAATCAAAGAATGAAAAGCTAAACACCTGGTAAGGCCAACAGCCAAAGGAAAGACAATACCTGCCAACATTTCAAAGATACAGCTTCAAAGCCACACTAAAACACCTATTTTTACCTCCTGTAAGAAAGAACAGTTGTCCAAGTCCCAGAATATCCACTATACTGGTTCATGTATGAGTACTTCACATTTTAAACCTTCTAACTCCAGACTACACCAGTCTGCCTCAGTGCCCAAAGAACTGCTACACAGCTTCAACGGTTTTGCCTCCTCTCAATCACATTCACTTCAGCATCAACCTGAGCTGCTCTGAACCTCAGTGTTGCAAATGAGAGACTGGCTGCAGCAGATCAAAACTTGCTGCAAGATACATTTCACATAGTTTGTGTTTGGAAAAGGACTGTAACGTACAAGATTTCACTCTGGTGAGACAGTTTGATATAATTTGACAAGGCTAAAACAATTAGCGGTGCTAGAATCGCCAAACCACACTTTCTGCCACAATGTTTCAGACTATCTTGTTTTATTAGCAGTATGAACAACTTTGTTACTAAAAAATGTTTGATCAAGAATGAAATGACAGCACGACTCAATCTTCCTTAAACTCCTAAGAATCTCTACCACTCAGTTTCAGATTCTTAACCTCCATGATATTTCACCTAGCTTATCAGATAAAACAGCAACAAAGTCTAGCTATATTGACTGATGTCTTATTTCTATTGGTCACCTTTGACGATAACAAACAAAAAGCTCTTGTGACTAGCCTGGAAATATTAACTATGTTGTAGCTGAATGCTTTTCTTTCTCTCATCCCAAGTTCCAGAAGCATATAATAATTAGGGATTGTCTCTTCCACTGGATCATTCTACCATTTTCTCCTAATACGTACTCTGAGCCATGGACAGTTCTTCTGTAGGTACATGAAGACAGGAGGAATGACCTGCAACACTAAATGCCCTAAACATCATGGTAACAACAAATAATTCTAACATCAACTCTTATCTCCTCTTGAGGGTGGAAATACAGCTAAAGGAAAGCCAGCTGAAGCTCATTTCATACAGCTGAATCTGGAAGCAACTCTAAAGAAAGCATCCTCAACCAGTTCTGCACTTGTTTTTATATTCATAATTCCAAGCTAGAATTAAAATACATTAATTCTTCTCATTTCACAAAAGCAATTAATGAAAATTTGCATAGTAATATACAACTACAGACAACAATAAATCAGTAAGCACAAAACCCACTGATTTTGTTGGAGTTTCTCTTAAAAAATAAACAAACTATGCTAGAGATAAACAGAGAGATAAACATTTTATCATTTATAGCCTTTTCAGTTACAAGACAGTATCCTCAATATTATGCAGAAACTGTCTGCAACAGCTTATACTCTAGGAAGCCGAGTAACACTCAAAATGCTCATATGTTGACCTCATCCAGAAAAATAATTTAAGACATTCAGTGCTGATGAGGAATCACTCTGTCAGTCCTTCATGCAAATTCTTCTTTACAAATCTGACTCAGGATCATTTATTGTGAGGCCTTCTGATGTGTGTTTATTGCTGCCAAGACAGTGGTACATCCTTTAGCAACTTACTCCACCACACCTTATTACCACCTTCCAAGATGACTGAGGTAGTTTTTATATATGTTTAGTTTCATACTTCACTGACTCCCTTTCTTCTATATCATGTAAGAGAAATAAATCTTAACTCCTGCTTTTCTCTAGACATGTTAATTTAGCAGCTGATACTGATGACTGTTCCAATATTTGTGTTACAACACTAAGCAACAGCACCAAGTGAAAGCTTGCCAAAAATAACAGTTTACTAATGGGGTAGAGATCAGCATTTACACCTGTGGTTTGAGCACAGTAATTATAAAATTCTGTACAAAAGGTTAAAAATCACAGCAGGGATATACTTCAGTAAGTATGCAGAAAACATTAAGATCTTATAAGTTGAACACACATATTAACAACAGGAGAGCACACCACCTGTACTATGAAGATATCAACCCTCTCTTCTTATTATACATCAACTCTAACACTGCCTTTCATACGATATTGTCCAGGTTTTCTTCTGATCTGCTCCCTGCCTCTTATATAGTGGTACTTTGTTAGAATGCACCATGAGATAACACAAATTACATTCTTCAAAGCCACCTATGTCAATGCACTTATCAAAGAACAATCCTTGGATCAATTGTTTTAAAAAACTCAGACAACTGACAAAATGTTCCTGAATGTCACCAAAACTAGGAACTTGGATTGTGCCAAACTTACCAAGATCCAAATCCCATAGGTCTCCTGTCGTAATCTGGCAAGTCTGGAGCTATCTTGCATGCTTCTATGTTCAGGTACTTAAATATGTGAATTTTTCCTTTTATACATATCTTAAAAAAAAAATTAAAAATTACATACGTATAATTTGACAATATATTTTCACCAAAGTACTCTACAGACTTTTAATCTGTAGTTGAGAGCACTTTTATGTCAACCAATGCATCTTTTCTTCTAATCTCACTGCATTTTAGAGAAACAGCTAAAATGGAGCATCACGGGATGCCTGTGATAGACAAATGAAAGCTGTCCTCCAAGTACATCTGGTCTGCATGCAACTTTGTCAGCTGGATGCTGAAATTTCATCATGCAAACAAGACATAAGCATTTACAAGTACTAGAATTTATACCCTTGGCATCAGAACAGATGCATCCCACCCATGCCCAGCTTTGAATGGCAGTGGCAGACTGCCAAAGCAAGCTCAAATTTAAAGCGAATGAAGCCACTAACAGCTGTCTGCTTCAAAAGGGAGGCAAAACCCTATTTAAACTACAGGTCTTAGCAAGTGCCACTCTTGACTCAGAAGCAGCAGCTCACAGTAGAACCTGTAATACTCAAGGGCTTATATACCCACATTAAAACTCAAATTAGTCAGTAACCATATTGCAGTTTCTAGCTCAAAGGCCAATTTGAGCTGTTTGCTGCAAAGTGAACCAGCACACAGCAGCACTCAGTCACTCAGACATTTGAGTGGCACAAAATCAGTCTTGCCTAACAGAGCTTCCTCTCTCCTACACTGAAAGCAAAAATGTTCAGCTAACATTTGTACAATGCTAACAGTGGAATTCTTAGTAATATCCCATAGGTGAGACTACTAGTAAGTAAAGCAAGAAAAGAGGGATTTTTCAAGCTGTGCTGTATATTTAACACTTTCAGACAACACACTTTATGTAAAATCTTCTTGTTCTTAAACAAAGTTTGTAATAGAATCCTTCAGCTTTCAACTTTGTTCTGCCCTTTTTAGTTGAATTAGTCATCCGAATTCCTAGCTAGAGTTTACCTGTGCAGGGGGTGACTGGAGAGGGTTGTTCTCTAACATGATGGTCTGCAGGTGTCTGAGGTTCCTATAACAAACTGGTATTGTTGTTATTTTATTGCAGGAGAAATCTAATCGAATCAAAGGCAACTCAGCAAGCTCTGGAGATAGAAAAAAAACATACAATTGAGCAGATTAAGAGAGTATAAAAAAAAGCAAGAGTATAAAAATATGTGTTTTACAAAATAACTGAGTACGCTGCTTCTAGCTCTCAGGGGAAGAAAAAGACATTGAAAATAAAGAAGTGCTTGAAGTTTCTGCTGTTATAACCGACAGCCTTTATCTCACCTTCAGGTAAACGCACCAAATTATTTCTTCTGACATTTAGGTCCCGCAAGGATTCCAAATTGCCAATCTGTGGAGGTATTGTCTGTATTTCATTACAGCTCACATCCTAGAAAGCAAGAGTAAAGAATGAGTTACCACTGACTGATAAGCCTCTGTTAACTAAAATATGTAGCATTTTATTTAGGGACTGAAAGAAAAAGGCAACTACTTACACAACATCTCAGATCCTTACATTAATTAAATCTTATTGCTGATGTAAAGCATTATTCTCATTTTAAATACTCAGGGAAATAAAAGCTCTAAAAGATTAAGCATTTAGATGTAGAACTTTATTCCAAGTTCTCTCATTCAAGTTACTCCATATTATTTGAGACAGCACAACTTGCTACATAAAAGCTTCCTGCCAGAAAGAAATGCACCAAAGGCTCTAACTCCATCCAGTGTTCCTGTCAAAAATACGGAAGACTCTTAGTTAATTGACGTGGATCATTTGCTCTCCAGTGCAAAGCACCTTTCCCTCAGATAAAAAAAATTTTAAAATATCAGAGTATTTCAAAATGTTTTGTAACACCTCTATACAAAGTCAAAACACAGTTGCAGATACTATGGTGGATACAAATCTTCCTTAGGGTAAAGCAGAATTAAGTATTTTGCCATTGCATACAAGTGACTGGTTTATAATCACAAAGTTCTCAGTAGAATGAGAAACAGGACATTGATCTTGCACATGCCCAGATAGCATCCTAATTACCACATTATTTTGATCAGTTAAAAAAAATTTGTTATTTCTTCTGAAGCACCTCCAAACCTATTAAACATATCAATTAAAAATTAAAGATTGAATAGTAATAGTCAAAAAAATAACTGTATACTCACAAGCTCTGTCAGCTGTCTGAGCTGTCCAATTTCTTCAGGTATTGAAACCAACTTATTATTACTGGCTATCAAAACTTTTAGTGGTAGACTACAGAGGTGGACTGGCAATGTTGAAAGCTGGTTTCGACTTTTTGGACAGAAAGAAAACAAAATCATCAGAACTCCAATGAGAAATCACCTCACATTTTAATGCAATGAAAGACACAAACAAAAAGCACACTCCATTTAGATGATTAACTCAGTTTTTATATAATTACTGTATAAGTAGTTCCATGAAGTTGTTCTTCATTACTTGATCTAGTTATGTGTGAAAAAACTCTGAATATCAAGTACCAAGCCTGATCAGATGGCTTTCAAACTCAGTGCTGGGGAATGTTATTTTTGTGCCCTTTCAGGTGCTTCTGATAACTGGCTATCCTCTATCACAAACAAGCATGTCTGAACAGACTGCAAAAACCTTTCTGACAGGTAGTATTGCCAGTCAGCATGTACAAAATGCCACAGAAAAAGTTACTGCTTACTGAGTATTTAAAAGTGTATTTCTAATTGAGTAAGTCATGTGGATCAAGAACCTCGGTATGATGGATTTCACTATTCCAAAATCCAGTCTTGGACATTTCATAATAAACTACTATTAAAGCAAATATGAGGTCACATGACTGGACCGTAACCTCAGAGGAGAATCAGGCAGCATGAGAACGGACTGTAAAAGAGAAAGATTCCCTTTAAAAATAAACCACAGCAAGAAGCAGTGACTGGATGATTAGAAAGTTATTAGGATCTTAAATAAACTTTTGATCAGATGTTGACATTTAGCAAAATATGCTGCTGTATTTTTTCATGCTTGAAACCCAGATTTCCCTGCTACTAAAGCAAAAAAAAGAGTCTGAGCAGTAGATGAATCAATGGCAGCTTTTAAAAGGATAATAATTGGACTGCACCTCCTAGAGACCACAGCAATAGGAAACCCATACTAGATTAATATCCTATTCCTACAAGTCTCATCATCAATTAAAAAACCCCAAAACATAAGCATACTCAATTGGCAAAAGTATAACACCAAAGTAAACAGCCTGAAGTTCTTCTTGATTAATATCACTGCCAATTTGTGATGAGGAACTTTCCACACCTCTTAAAAGACCTTCCACAAATGGAGGATGCTGTACACAGTTGAATTTCATCAAGAGGCTAAGTTGCAGCAATTAGCTTTTAATGCTGGCGGAGAAGTGTTAATGCTTGAGAAAGATCTTTAAAAGCCACCAGTACAGTGAAGGTAAAGCGAAATTGCATAAGCCTTATTCAGCTGCTGAGAGCTGAATTGTAAAGACTATCCAAAAACTCTATCATCCCTTTTCAGTCTGCATGCCTGTATTTCACATGAAAACTACTGGAATTTATTTTGTGAGTCCTTTACGTTGGAATTAGCTTGCTTCTTCATATTCCACTTCTACAAACTGCTGCTTAATCCTCATGTTCCCTGATCCACCTAAGTAGGTAAGACTGGTTCGGGTTGCTTTGAATCAATGACATTCATTATAACAATGTGATGATCACACACTACGTTAGCATTACTTACAGATGCATCAAAATTTATAAACCTAGACTACTGATGCTAAAGCAAAATTCCTAAGATAATTGTTACCTGATATTTAGAAATGTTAAAGACTGTAAGTTCAAAACAGCCTCTGGGATATATCGAATGCAGTTCTGGTACAAATTAAGACTCTCGAGGGAGACAAAGTGACATGCTTCTGCTGGAAGCTCTGACAGTCTGTTCCGTGACAAATCTGAAGGGAGGAAAAAAAGAAACATTCATTAAAGCTATCTTAAAACCTCATGAAGACAAGTATTGCCTGTATATTCGCCACCACACAGTGGGAACAGTTGAACAGGAATCAGTTTCACTGTCCTACCTGCAAAAGTTTCAAGATTATGAAGTGACTCACTTCATACACAAAATAAATCAACACCTTTTAAAATCTTTGAGTCACAATGAGAAAAAGATAGCCCAATGCAACACTCCTGTCACAGTCACACTTTCACATCCCAAACTGCCTTATGCTTAGAGGACGCTAGCGTAAGATGTTGAAAGCTCAGCTTCAAATCTTTGTTCCAGGACCATCTTTAGATTATGGAGTTGGTACTGTGTAGGCAGTCCTGTAATGAAATAATCAGAAAGTACTTTTCTCCCATCCCCTTGCTAAGGTACTCCCTGCTACATGGAAATCTCAGCTTCAAGTTTCTTGTCCAAAATAGATACTTTATGTAGATACATGCACATTTATCAGTAACACTTCCAACAGGGGAAACATGAGGTACACACCTGAGATAAGCCTTCTATACTCTAGCCAAAGCATTCCCTCCTTCAGGGAGATACCAGTTCAAGCCTGTAATCTCAATCAGGCAATGGAAGGATTTTCAATAAAGAGTCTTCCCAGCTGCAGAGAAGTGCTCTGCTTGCTGCTAGCAGTAAGGTTTACTGTTTCTTTGTGATCATACATTCCTTGCTTGGCAAGAGATAAAAGTTTAACCAAAACTCCTACCAAATGTTTGTATTTGAAAAATCAATATTTTTCCTTAGCCAGTTCCAATTACAAGTCTGTATGTATAAGATTCCATCAGTATTACTCTCATTCAAGAGTAAAAGCTGCATTGTGATAAATAACACAGTTGCAAAGGGTTCTTTTTTCTTTAAAGGTCAAGGAAAGCTCTTGCTTATAAAAGCCAAAGGACAGTTCTTACAAACACACACTAACAGTTCCCACTTCCTAACACACACCCAGCTCTTAATTCTGATAGGAGTTATGCTCACATCAAGAGCACCTTGTGTCAGCAAGGAGTTCCTACAGAGATACTGCCTGTTTAATAAACTGACACTTCACCTTTACATTTTTAAGGGAAGGCAGACATTCATTGTAAAAACCCATCTAACCTGAATCAGTGTCATGAATAATTAAAAAAAAA